TCTCGCTCTTGCTCACGCTGGTCTCCAACTCCTGACCTTGAGCGATCCTCCTGCCTCGGCCTCCCAGCGTGCTAGGATTACAGGCATGAGCCACTGCGCCCGGCCTAATATATGTTTCTTATATTAGTATCTGAAATTTAAAAGTGAATATGGAATAAATAAAATGTATTAATTTATCATTTCAAACTCTTGGGGACAAAACCCTTCTCTTGTTTCTAGGATGTTCCAGAACATCCTAGAATTGTTTTTAGCAATTAAAATTAATCCTGCATAAAAACCTAGTGCTTTTTGAAATCATATTGCATGTAAGCATTTCTTTAATTTGAAAATCTTTTTGAAGGTCATGTGTTGTTTACTCTTTTGCAGGCCAGCTTTAATGACCGTAGGTAATGGGGGACATAATGTTTGCATTCGTGTAGGATCAAAGCTGATAGAGAAGATTCTTCTCAACATTTCTCCGGACTGCCTCAACAGAGTGATAGGTAATACACCCATGCACCATCAAGAGGTTGTTTTTGGTGAAAGCATTCATTTAGGAGTGTAGATAGTATGTTGAAACAGAAAGAACACTGTACTGTAAAATAAGGGTTTTTCCGTCCATATTAAAAGCAGAAAGATAATTTAGCTTTAGTGAAACATAGAACTATGTAAATTGGAAGGTAAGACTTGCTTTACACCCATGTTAGTACATGAATAGTGGGAGGCACCTAATCTCTTCTTAACCTAAATTTCCAATTGGTAAGCAAAAACACTAGGACCCTAGTTAGAGTTAAGTAAAGGAATGTGTGACACTGTATATATGAAGATAGTCTATTGTCAGTGGAATGGGTTTGCAAGATCTTCAGCTATGATGCTGGGAATAGTCAGTGGCTAAGACCAAAGCAAAGGTGTAACCCTCTGGTCATTCAGACTCCGTACCTGTCCTCATTAGCCTCAGACTCTCTAAGCAGATGAGCTAATTTGGTTCTGTTGATTGCTTTGTTTTTTAATAATGGGTTGCTTTTCTTGTTTTTTGGGTGTCTGGTAATTTTTGCTAGAATGATGAACATTGCATACAGAACAACATAGATTAAGGTAAACAGTATTTGTACCTGGAAAAGGGCTTGCCTCTTCTAGAACTTTACTAAGGGTGAGCCGTGAGTGGGAGAGAGTCAGCCTCGTCAGACGAGTTGGATTCAGGTTTTATTATTGCTGTAGTTACCTTCAGGTCACCAATGGTTTCAGATTTTTCTATATTATCTTGTGCTTATAGTGGAGAGTGGGTCCCCAGATATTCCTGTCCCGTTATCAGCTTAGCACTTTACTCTGCACCTGCCACAGAGCTAGTTTCTCTACATGTTCTGGCACTTCCCCAAGTGGTACAGGCTTCTGTTGGGACATCCCAGCCTGGTAGGAAGGAGCAGGATTGATTCTCTTTGATTCTGGTCCAGCCTCGTTCTTACTCCGGGTCTTGGGTGTGGCACTTTCTTGGCAGATGCCCTTCTGCCGTGGCAGCCAAGTTCTGCCTTGTGTCTTTGGTGGGTCTTGCTGGTCCTGCCCTCTCTGAGCACTAGGGGGCCACTAATGGTCCTGATCCAGGGTGGTTTTCTGCCCCTCCAGGAATAGAGGATTTTTTTCTTTTTCCTTTCCTGCATCTGCACTGGGTCCTCATTTCTACCCTGGGGCAACAGGATTTGCCGCCCTTCCTCCAGCTGTTGAAGGCTTTAGTTCTTTAAAGGGGAGGCCCAGGTGGTGCTTTGTGCCTTTCCTCTTGGCAGCTACCCCCTCCTCCAGGCCTTCACCATAGTTGGAAGCTTTCTCCGATGTCTTGCCCTGCCTCCTGTCCTGTGAGCACCTGATGGAGGAGCCCGCAAACATGCAGACCTGCCTTGTGTCCGTGGCACAGGCAACTCATTGGCTTTAGCAATTCATTAAATATTTAAGCACATGCTTCTTTCCTGCTTCTTGGGTGCACCTGTCTTCTTCCCTGGCCCTGCCCCAAGTGAACCTGTGCTCCTCTTCGTCTCCTTGGAGGCATCTGTCTTTCCTTACATTGCAGTCTTGTTGGCTGTTGTACAACTTGGGTTCTCTTGTGCGTTCAAGAAAATGATAATTTTGTAGTTTATTCAGCTTTTTCTAGTAACTGTCAGGGTGGGAGCCACATTTTTTCCAGCTTTCTACATCCTAATTAGAAGCCTCTATTCTTTGTTTTTTACGTTCTTTACTTCATTTTCATTCATTTGAGTATTTTCCTTCTTTTTCTTAATTTTTTTTTGTATTTTGAGTCTTATCTCTTCATTTTTTACAGAGTGTTAATTAGTCTTTATTTTTCAGAGAAGCATCATTCTCATTTCAAGTATACTCCTGTGCTTTGTCTATTCTTGAGACAGTTAAAGTCGTACTTCTTGGCATTGATTAGATTGTAACCATAAGCGAAAATGTCATTGGTTATAAAGTGGCTACCATACTATCCAGGTTATCACTAATGTCAATTTTCTTTTTAGTTTACCAAAGTGTAAATGCAAAATTTCGAAATTATTGTGGAGACTTCTCATACATCTAAAAATATGTCATTGGCTCTCCAGGAGTCTGTAGCCCTAATCCAAGGAAGACTGGTGTATTGATCAGCGAACTAGAGTAGTGTGAGCATAGTCGATGGTGCTTGTCAGTCTGGTATTGAACAACCTGCTAAATAACTCGATTAGATGTCCTAAAAAATATGAGAGGAAGAATATATGACAAATGCAAACTAAAATGACATATATAGCTATAATTTT